TGAAAATGAATTACATCCGATCCATTATTGGAGTCGGAAAACATCGAACACTGAACAGCGGTATTCCAGTTATGAGTTGGAAGTCCTGGCAATAATTCAAGCGGTCAAAAAATTCAAAAATTATTTGAATTCAGTTAATTTCAAAATTGTGACTGACTGCATCGCTTTCAAACAGTCTGTAAATAAAAAGGAAATTATTTTATCTCGTGTTAACAAATGGGCGATGATATTATCTAATTTCACTTACGAAGTAAAGCATAGGAGAAATGGTTGCATGAAACACGTCGATTCATTAAGTCGAAACATTATGTTGATAGAAACCCGAGACATTTTGATACAACAAATAAAAGATAGCCAGAAAGAAGATGATTATCTAAAATTAATTACAACAAAGCTAAATAGTGGAGAAAAAGTTGATGACTACGTTCTAAAAAACGACATACTTTATTACGAAAAATATGGTGTCGACTTATTAGTGGACAAAAAATATGGAGGGACAAATAATTAAGAATATACACGAATATGCTCATTTTGGTGTACAAAAGATGATAGAACTCATTCAAAGATTCAAAAAATTAAATGCATATTAGTGGATAGGAAAGTAGGTAAAAAAGAGGGCTACCTTCATTCAATACCAAAAGGTGAGTTTCCCATGGATACCATGGTCGTAGTAGATGCTTTTACTAAGTACGTTTGACTATATCCTACCCGTTCCACTTCATCCAAAGAAGCTATTAATAAATTGCAATTGCAAATAACAAATTTCGGCACACCTCGGCGAATAATATCAGGTAGAGGTACAGCATTTACTAGTGCAGACTTTGATGAATTTGCAAAACAGTCAAATATAAAGCACACTCTCATTCCAACCGGTTTGCCTAGAGCGAATGGCCAGGTCGAAAGGATAAACAGAATTATTATTCCAATTTTGGCAAAATTAACTATTGAAATTCCTAGTCATTGGTATAAATGGGTTGGAAAGGTTCAGGTGGCGCTCAACAGCACATACCAAAGGAGTATTGCCTGTACTCCATACGAATTGTTGTTTGGCACTCCAATGCGAACAGGAAGTGACCTGGAAGGCATCAAAGAAATTATAGAGGCTGAACTAAGAGAAAAATTCAACATAAAACGAAATGCAGTAAAATTGAAGAAACTCAAAATAAAAATTCCGAATTATATAATAAAAAGCGAAAAGTCAGACCAGATTATAACATTGGTGATGTAGTGGTACTTCAGAGATCTCAGTTTGTTCCTGGTTCTAAACTTATTTCGAAGTTTCTGGGTCCTTATAAAATTTTGAAGAAAGCTTATTTCCATTATAAATTAAGGAAAATTAGTGGTGAAGGTTCCATGGAGACCACTGCAGCTGGTGATCAATTGAAGCCGTGGCCTAAAAATATAGACTGTCAAAATAATTGAATTTGAAAATGTTATACATACGAAATCCTGAACTTTAATATTCTAGAATTATTCTTTTATTTTAAAATTAATATTTTAAAAAAAAAGTTATTATGATGATTGAGCTCAAAATTTGCTAGCTATAATTTTAAATTCTTTTTATGAAATGAAAAGCAATACATATCTGAAATTAAATTTTATTTGAGAATAATTCAAAATGTTACTTATAGATTTTTAAAAAAAAATAGAATAGTAATAATTTAGAGTATAATGTAGAGTGTACACAATATAGTCTGGGTATGTAATATAAGAGTATAAAAATGAAAAAACCTTTTTGTTTTGAAACCAAAAAAAAAAAAATTGATATAGATACAAAGATATTTTTATAAAAGGAACTAAAATTAGTAGATGTTAATACAAGATAAAAGAAAATTTTAAGCGATATCGTAAATAATTGCGTGTATTGAATAAAGAAAATAATGCATTATATATAAAAAAAATCTGATGTGGTCAACACATAACCGACCGCATTGTGTATTGTCTAGTTAAATGAAAGTGTTACAGAATATTATAAAAATGTGTGTTAAATACTTCTTTCCAATTTTTAGGACATTAGTAAGCTTATAGTTAACATACTTAGAAAAATGTAAATTTGGCTCTTAGTAGAGTTTCGCTTTGTGCTACCCGAATTCCCTGAAATGCTTGCCAGTTAGTTTCGGTAACAACCAGAACTCAAATATCAAATTTCAAGAAATTCCATCAATTTGTTTTGTGGATATGGTGAAAAATGTAAAATCGGCCCGCAAATCAGTTCTCGAGCCCTGATCTTTCCAAAAAAGTTATATGTTCATTGCTTTAATATGAGGAATTCATATATTAAATTTCAATGAAATTGGTTGATTATTTTTCTTTATATACACAAAAATGTATATTTGACCTGTAGTAAACGCCCAGTTGCTGATGCCTGATTTCTTCTAAAAGTTAGGAATTTTTGCGTATGGCCGAGCAAAGCTTATATATGAAATTTCAAGTAAATCGGTTGAATACTTTTTTCAAAATGGTGAAAAATGTAAAATCGGCCCGCAAATCCGTTTTCGAGCCCTGATCTTTCCAAAAACTTTATATGTTCATTGTTTTAATACGAGGAGTTCATATATTAAATTTCAATGAAATCGGTTGATTATTTCTCTTTATATATACAAAAATGTATATTTGGCCCGTAGTAAACGTCTAGTTGCCGATGCCTGATTTCTTACAAAACATACGAATTTTTACGGACGGTCGAGCTGAGCTTATATATAAAATTTCAAGTAAATCGGTTGAATATTGTCTTCAAAATGTTCAAAAATGTAAAACAGGCCCGCTAAAAAGTGCAGTTCCCGAGGCCTGATATATACCAAAAGTTGATCGATCCGTGCCATGGTGGAAACAAACTTACATATAAAATTTCATCAAAATCGGTTCAGCCGAACTTAAGATACACGCGTGCACACACAGACCGACAGACCGACAGACCGACAGGTTGCTAAAAATAGTTTATTTACACTTCCCTACTATGGAGAAGTACGTTCCCACCGAAAACTCGATATGCAAAATTTGTTGCCATCACATAACCTACCTATTGTTTACACAATACGGTCGAGATTTAAAAAAAAAAAGAATCTTAAATAAGTATTTAGTTTATGCTAGATGTGATCAGCTTAGGTAGTGTCCTAACTGAAGATGTGTTTTACATATTAAATAAAGATAAAAGAGGTGATGCTGGACATGGTTAAGTTTAGGTAATGGCTTGAATTTAAGTGTCTATGCATTGTTTTAGAAAAGTCAAGTTCGACTTGAATAAACGGATGATAATAAAGTCATCATGGTAAAAGCAAAGTTATTATCTGGGCATAAAAAAAAAAATGAAATTTGGTATACTTGCCTATTTGACTTAAAGAAAGAACAAGAAGCAAAATAAAAAAAAAACTAAGAAAAAATAACTACTAATTATTTTACAGAAAGAAAGAAAGAAAATAAATAAATAAAGAAAAGAAAAAATAAAATGTAAAAAAAGAAGGAGAGCGTTTAAGTTTAGGTGGTGTCCTAAACTAACAAACTTTGTTTTGTAAAATAATTAGAATATCTGAAAGATTACAAGTAGAACATTTGGGTCGAAGGTTCTATCAAGATGGCCGAATGTAGTAATATTCATATGAGTTTATTATAGCTAAATGTAATTATATAATATTGTACTGAAAAGTATTCATATTCAATGTAATCAAAAATGTCACCTAAAAGAGTATCGAAGTCGAGATTGAAAAAGAACGAGATGCAAGAATTTAATAAAAGAAGAGAAGAAAAGATTATTCAGAAAGTGATCGTAAAGCAGAAAGGATGTGTTTTACGAGTATTTTAAAAAATGAAATACTATACTCGTACAACCTACCTATTGTATACACAATGCGGTCGGAAAAAAGTAAAAACGAAAACTTTAATAAAATAATGAATTTCTTGTATAATGAATTGGATTAAATAAAGTTGTATCAAAAAAGTAAAGATACATTTTTCCTTTTAATAAGTGAAAGCACTACCTTTGAAAGCAATCGACCAGCTATTTAAATGTAGTTTATATAAAGCATAGGGTAGTATAATGTACATATCAAATTATTGCATCCCGGATTGAGCAAAAAAAAGTTGAAAGAAATATTAACATAATTAAGGTTGAATTCATTAGTTACATAAGTGAGTTACTATAAATAATTATATTTTTTGATGGTGTGATAATTTTTGTTAACTTTTAGCATGTATATAAATTTGGAAAAAATAAAAAATATCGACGATTCAAAAAAAATGTATTTCATGTAATTGCGTTTGCAGAATTTAAATGTTTGACTTCGATGCAATCAATAATCACAAAATGGCATTTTTAGGATTTAAAGGGATATTGTCCCTCACTTTTACAGAGAGATAGGTAAAAATTTTCTTCAACGGGTGTAAATTACTAGTAAAGGTCTGTGTACAAAATTTCAGCTTTGTATCTTAAAGATTGTGTAGAGTTTTTGGAAAGAGACACACGGACTGGTAGGCTAATAAGAACTTTTTACAATTTTCTTTTTTTTCATAAAGCCTTAAAAATGTTAAATATCATTATAAAAGGATTATAAATTTTTTGAATGTACAAAACTTAAATTGAATCTTTTTATCATTGTTGTCGGACAAATTGCAAAGGTCGTCTTCTTTTTGTAATTTTATCGGTGCGCTTACTTGATTGTTTGTTATTAAAACCGCTAAAAACGACACAATCATTGCGGTTTTGTTATATTTTTTTTGTTGTTTAGTTTGGATTTTTTTTTTTGTTATGACTTTTGTTGATAGTTTTGTTGCTAAACTTTTGTGCAACTTTGCTTTTGCTGTTTTGCTAGTTCATTCATAGGCTCCTAACGTATATATCGTGTATGTATATACATTTGTATACATTTCCCCATTACGTAAAGGAAGTTCCTTCAAGTATTAGAAATAGATTGGGTCAGATATACTTTATTGTTATTTCTTTTGCATTTTTTTTCTTCTGCTAAAACTAAATTTATTTTATTGTAATTTTCATTTTTTATTTCTAGAATGACACAATGCGAATCATTTTTATGTATTCGAAAAGTGAACCATGGCATGGTGCAGTTAAAGCAGGAAGTTTACCAAATCCATTAGAAGCATTCAAAGAATCTCGGTCGTTATATTTAACGCAAAAATTTCAACCACGACCACTTCAAGATGATCGAGTGCGGATGCTAGAGTTACGTAATGAAGATGTTGAATTACCAAGTGGTGACGATACATTATACTGGTGTAAAATGTTCAAATTAGATGATATTAAAGGGAAACATCACTTGATACGGGTAAGAAAAAAAGAGAAAATCAGAAAAATTAAATGAAAAAGTTTAAATTTCTTCTTCAATTTTATTTGGAACAAAATAAAAGATTATAACGAAATATATAATTATTAGTACATAACTAGAGAAAACTTTATGGATATAGAAAGGATAAAATTATAAAACAGTTTTATTTGGAAAAATGAGTGAAGTCTTTAGTTTTTCTGTTTTTATACCCAGCACTTCGTGAAGGGTATATTAACTTTGGTATAGAGTTTGTAACTACTTGAAAGAGTCATCTGCGGTATGGACATATATGTATATATTCTTGCTCAGCGTGAAATTCTGCATTGACTTAGACATGTCCGTCCGTCCGTCCGTCCAGCCGTCCGTCCCTCCGCCGATCGCACGATAACTCAAAAACGAATAATGCAATCGACACAAAACTTTCACAAAATTTTTCTTTTTGTGCCAAGGACGAACCCTATTGTAATTGAACTAATTCGAACAACGGGTTCGGGTAACTGCCATACAACTCAAAGAGTTTATTTTAAATATTTCAAAAGCTAATAAAGGTATAACTATAAAATTTTGTATACATGTGTCCAATTATATTCTGCACGTGTTCTAAAATGTATATCTATAGACAATGGCAATACTAATGTATATCTATAGACAATAGCACTAAATAACTGAAATTCATTTGCGTTATTCGAGATCTTATAGAGCAATAATTTTTTAAGGTTTAACATATATTAATAATTAATGAAATGTATATAATACGTTGAATCGCAAAAATTTTCAAGGGATAGCTGCACCGGTTCTGCTGGCTGCCATACAACTCCAAAAGCAAATTTTTTATATACGGCAAAATAATAAAGTCAGATTAATGAAACTTGGTAGTCATGTGTCCAATTATAGGTCAGATATATTTCTGAAGTTTTAGTGGAATTGCTTTACTGGTTCGGGTACCTGTCATACAACTCCAGAAGCTAATTTTAAATATTTGGAAAAATAATAAAGTCAGATTCATGAAACTTGGCAGTCGTGTGTCCAATTATAGGTCAGACATATTTCTGAAGTTTTGGTTGAATTGCTTGACAGGTTCGAGTAGCTCCCATACAAATCTAAAAGCTTATTTTAAATATTTGGAAAAATAATAAAGTCAGATTCATGAAACTTGGAAGTTGTGTGCCCAATTATAGGTCAGAGATATCCGTGAAGCTTCTATAGAATGGTTTCACAGGTTTGAGTAATTGCTATACAACAACGAAAGGTGCAGGGTATAATTCAATCGGTTTATACCGACTGAAACATTTTTACTTGTTTTTATTTATATTATGAAAGACTTTACAAAATAAATGAAAAATGCTTGAGATTTATTCATTAGATCATTGATTCAATTCCCATTCCTCTAAAATAAAATTGAATTTAAAATTTTAAAATCATTTTTTATCTTACGACAAAAAAAAATAAATAGCTATTCTGTGGTTTTAAACTTTTTCTCTATAATATTTATCTTTAATCTAGAGACTTTTGTAATAAAGAGCAACACTATTAAGTTAGATAGTTAATTGTAGAAGTATATAGCATTCCTTTGATAAGCAATAATAAGTAACCAGATGGAATGAAAAATTTTTAAATTTTCAACGAATTTTCAAATACGACATTAAAGTAATGAAAAGAAAATATTAGTTGAAAATTATAAATTCTTTTTAAAGAAAAAATTAAATAGGTATATTGAAAGAATCTAAATACTTTCACTTCTTTGCCCTTTTCACTCGTATGTGACAGTGGAGGTGACAGAACTAATTCACTCTACAACTCTTATGTCATATTGGAGGTGACAATACTGATTTACTTCTCTACAATTCGCATGTTATACTGGAGGTAGCAATACTAATGTATATCTATAGACAATAGCACTAAATAACTGAAATTCATTTGCATTATTCGGATCTTATAGAGCAATAATTTTTTAAGTTTTAACATTATAATTAATGAAATATAATATATTATTATATAATATGTTGAATCGCACCACTGTAAATTTCTTTATTTCATTTAGATAAAAAAAATTACAAGCAACAACCTTGAAAATAAATCGAGTGCAAAGGCTTTAAATTTTATATTTTCGTACAGACTTTCCTTTCGTTCTGGCCAAATTTTAGAATTTTATAATATTCGGAAAATATTTGCAAGATAAAGCTATTGTGGCTGATATTATCATTTTTTTAGGCATGCGTGTAAAAAGATTTATTGCTTAGTTTATTGCTTTTTGATTACATAATTTGTTTGATTATTCCCTTTATTAAATTAGATTTATAGTTTAAGAGTGAGGTAGATACATATAGGGACGAATGGTTCATATATGCAAGGTATGCATTTGCAAGGGTGACAAAAAGCAGGGGGCCATTAAAAACTTTAAAAAACCATAAATTTAAAACAAAATAATTTTAATACAAATTTAATTTAATTTACAGCGAAATCAACTGGGTAAAATGTACTTACATACAAACATAATATTTTATTCCTAATAATATAAAAAATGTGCATGAAAAAAAACGGTCACTAAGTATTGATCTTCATATATTTTCCTTTCGCACCATACAATGAAATGTTCATAGAATGAAAATTATTCACACATTTTCTTACTCTACACTACTCTTTTATTTTTATTTATTGTACGAATACACAAAATATATTTTTTCAATGATATGAATCATCAGAATTGCAATTATTAATTTTTCCTTTTACATACATACTAGAATAAATTCGTATATTATGCCTATAAACAGAAAATATACAGCTGTACACATTCAATCCTACATATCCATAAGTGAAATCGTGTCATATATTTATTAATATACATAGAAGCAAGTTATACGCAAAAAATAAAAATATTCAAAAATATACATGCACACATAATTTATATTGTTTAATATGAATAAGATCAACACTCATGCGTACTCATATAATTACTCATAAAGCAAGATTTTTATTTTACTGAGATTGCTCCCTATCAACACTCGCTCGTACACATATAATTACATCACAAAGCAAAATTTTTATTATGCTTAGTGATCCTCCTGGCTACACTCGTTCGTACAAATTATATTTAAATTGTTTCATATATGCAAAATTTTATTTATGCTTAGTTGTCGCCCACTCACCAAACAAACAAACACATTATTATAATGTATTACTTTTTCTGTATACTATTGCATTAGTAAAAAACAAGAACAAAAAAAAAAAGAGAGAGAAGAATGAGAATAGAAAGAAATTAGAAAAGAGAATGAGAGCGATATTCTTAAATGATGGAAAGCATAGCTTGATATTGAGATTGTGTATACCAATATTTTATTTGTTTAACAAAAAATTTTGAATGAATTTTAAAATTAAATGATCGTTATGAATTTCTACTACATGTTTTGCTTTCGTTTTTGAAAAAAACTGTTATCAATCACAGAATTAAATATTAATTGGAAATATCTACTACTTAGATTGAATTGGAAAAATGTTGTTTAATAATCAAGCGAATGTTAAGAATTTTATGTTGAATTGATCTTGTGTAAATCATCCAAAAAATAAAAGTAAAATGAAATGGCGCAATAATTTGTTTCATACATTTAACTCCAAAATTAAAAATGCATTTATTTTAATAAAATCTAAAAAATTTAATGAACAGTATAAAAGCTTGTACCAATGTACATAAAAAGGTTAGTTTTCAAGTCATAAATTTTAGGACGAAACTTTGATTTTCTTTAAATTTTTGAATGCAAGTCGAAACTGTTTTTATATGCTGCTTCATTTCTCAGGCGATTTGTGAAATAAAAAGCCAAATTTTATTCGTAAATTTAAAATTACGAATAAAATTTCGTTACGTAAAATCATTTAAGTATATAAGTAAATAAATTTTTTAAAAAAAGTTCATTTGATATAATTTTCATAAAACCTTTTACAATAAGTTTCACCTACGTCAAGAAGTAAATTTTTTGGTTGTTAAAATCAAAAAATCAAGTTTAAATAATTTATATAAATCTGATCATAACTTCATAAAAAAATATACAGTTAAATAAATTACCTTGTTTTTGAATTTATAAAACAAAATATTGAAAGTTTAGTTCCAGACTTTAATTCTATAATTAGTTCTGCATTGAGCAAAATAAGGTTACAAGAAAATGCTTTATGATGCATAATGTGCAATGCCTATTAAATTTTGTTCACAGTAATAAAATAGGTGAAACGGTGAAAGGGGGGGCGCACTTTTTAGGAACCGCTTAGGGCGACGAATACATCAGAACCGCGCCTGGTAACATATATTTATTAAAAAAAACAAACCTAACAGATTTACTTTATTCATTAATATTAAAAACATTATTACCTTATTACAATTATTCACACAAAATTTAGTAAAATTAACGAAAAGTTTTAATGACATAGAGTTAACTGAAAATAAAGTAAAAATTTTCAATTTTAATTTTCTTTGCCTTTAGTAGTTTCCAGTTTCAAAATATTTTTCAATTTCTAATGAAACCGATAATACGAAAATTAAATGTTTTATAAGAATTATTTACACTTAAGTTATTTACATATTTATTTTTTTAATCAGCGTTCATGTATACAATTATGTGAAATTCTTTTTCAGAGTATAAAAGCTTATGTATGTATATCGCTACCAGCAAGGCAAAACATCTTAAGTCGACTTAAGATGTTTTGTTTTGTCAGACGTTTTTGAACTTTTGAATACTAGATCTATATTTTGCTCTGACTGCGGTGTCTCAAGCCCCCTCCGTTTCCATTTTATGGACCTGGTAAAAACACCTTAAGTCCATATTGTTCAATTCAAAGGCAAAACATCTATGTCGGACTTAAGATGTGATGCCTTTTTTACTTTTGGATATTTTTTTGATTATACGTACTAAAAAGGCAAATAATATTAAGTCGACATGAGATGTTATGCCTTTTGCAAAACTGTGAAATTTTACTTTCCTAAGTCAACTTATCATGAAATTCACTTGTAAAAA